ATGTGTTGTTGTTCATCTGAGGTTGTATTTACCTACTTTTGAGAACTGCTAAAGACCAGATTATTTTTATTATGTCCTGATACGTAAAACCATAGAACTCAAAGAGGTTGTACTTCCTTTTTCACATGACTGTATATTTGATTCAAATAGTTATGATGATGAAAATTCCACATAATAAAAATAACGTTCCTGCAGTTTCTCAAAATATGAAACCAGGAGATGAACAGACATAGCTTAGAGGTTGGAACAAGTATATGTAACCAGATTTGTAATGTGCAGTGTATTTCTCTAGCATTAGTGTTAGGGTTCTCAGGCAACTGGGCTAAAAATGTATTTTTAATGTATTCATAACAGATAATACCAGTAATAGATACATATTTCCCAAAGCTTGCTGGGAAGAAGCAAGAAAGCAAATGAAAAGAAAATCCCCCTCTCCCCCACACCCAGTTCTAAAAACATAAAAGGCACTGTTCATCAGTCTTTTTCTAGCTAAAACAGACATGATTGTGATCTAGCAAAGAGAAGGCTCAAAGAAGACTATAGTCATTATATTGTTTCATTTGATAGATAGACAATGAGGCCAAATAGTGTAGCATTATTCAATGTATATAACCATCAGATAATTTCACTTCATTCTTTCTATTTATTTTTTCTATATATCCAACTTGTGCTGCGTAGACTGTCATTTTGGAAGGTGCCAAACTGAAGTTTTGCACAGTCCAAAGGTTTTGGCCAACAACATGTGAGGCATAATTCCCAAGGGAGGAAAGTCCAAAGGCTAGATATGACCTCATAAAAACCCCTTGCTCTTTGTTCCCACAAAATATACCTCTGCCTTCAGTATGACATAGCAAAGAACTTTATCGCAGACCTTTGTGGCCAAAAAGTTTATTGTGAAGCAGAAGTAGTCCTTCAGGGATTCTGGTTGTGAACTATTCTAGGTTTTAATTATTAAAGTTAGCACTTTGAATTGGGCTTAGCAACTGATTGAAAGGCAACCCAATTTTAATGATAGTGTATCCTATTGCATACAAAAATATGGGTGCAATATTTTAAATATTTTGAATAGTAGTTCTTCCTGGCACAAAACATTTTTTAAGAAGAACTTAATATAAACAGCAGATAGAAGTTCTTGTTTTGGCATGGGTCTGAGTCAAAACTTCACTGAACTTACCCAGATCATTGGGTGTGTCCAAAATTGCGTTCTTCAAGCAAGTGAAGCGCTTTCCTTGTATTGAATTGGTTAGCCATAACATAACATTGTTTACTGTTTGCAGAACACTTGTGTGAATGAAAGTTGTACTACTGAAAGTTAGATAATAAAAAATGGTCCAGGAACTAGGTAAGTGTGCTTCAAGAACATTTCCTCTCTTTGGACTTCAGAGTTACTGGGAAATCAGTGTTAGACAGATTTTTGTAGCAACCTGGGAAATTGAGTTACAACTGAAAATATGGCAGTGCGGGCTTTGGCTTGAAGCGTGTAGCTTTGGAAAGGCCATCTCTTACTCATGACGCTTTCATTTAATGCTGCTTACTAATCTGC